CACATTACGTGCTAGAAGAGACAAAGCAATGTTCACACGTTTGAAACGATGATCATCGCAGAGTTCGTGAGGCACCCAAACACCTTTTAAGGAGTTTTTCCCATATTCCTTAGATGTTTACGTATTGTTTCATGAGTGACATGCAGTTTCAGGGCCATTTCATGAGTGCATTGCCTTGAGTTAGACTCAACAAGCATCTTCAGAGCATCAATATCAATTCCAACATGTCGGCCCCTGCCATCACAGTTTTTAAGTCTACAGTCTCCTGAACGAAATTTGCTGAACCATCGTTGACACTTACGAACATTCAAAACATTTCCATAAACTTCTTTCATATTCTTTGTGGCTACAGAAGCGTTGCTTCTCTTTCTTGTAGTTAAACAGCATTACATGCCGAATGTGTGTCTCATTGTGTGCCATCACTATAAGGGATTAGAGTATACTAAACTTTACACATTATATAGGCTACATTAACATGACGTTTAGGAGGTTCATTTAACTATTATATGTGATGTATGTTTGTTTTTTGGGGGGGGGGGTATTGAAAGTGTTCCAAAAAGCGACATTAATTTTTTGATGACCTAACAGAAATTAGAAAATTCTTAATTGATGACTTCAAAGCTGAGATGCATCACATTACAGAAAAATGAAATTTAAGATTATTTAATATTTATTTTGAAACTAAGAAGTTAAAACTTAGATAATATAAAAATCTGAGTTAGGAAACTGCATTTTCATGCCATGTTTATTAATATAAATTAATAATAAAGTTGTTTAATTAAATTTTGAATGTTACACTGTAAAAGGTCATGACATTCACACTTTAACCTGGTCATGCAGAAAGAGTTAAATGTTTAGAATATAAGCTTCAGTCTCAAGTTCTTATTTAATTATCAAAAGAAAACATTATATTTACATCACTTACTAACAGACCTAGAAATATCTGATTTATGTCTAATTTACCAACCACAGATCCAGAAATGTTTAATTTACCTAGGGATCACATCTAAATAGCATATTCTAGAATTCAATGTTGTATTTGTGCCACAGGAAAAAAAAAACGACAAGAAACCTCACATACAGTAACATTCTATGGCTGCAAAGTGTCAATGTCATCAACAAATGGTAGCATTAAAATATCATCGTAACTACAGTAACGAAAAGCAATGGTATCCAAATAAGGAATCAATACATTGTGACCATTGTAATTTTAGTTTTTATTAATTTATGACATTATATACTCCTAGTCAGATAGGTATAAAATTAAATCAGGTAGGCAGTAGCACTACCTATGTAGGGATGGCTCAGATTGTTCATTACATAAGTATTAACACCAATCAAACGTTACCAGGCAGGCAGTAGCACTGCCTATGTAGGGATGGCTCAGATTGTTCATTACATAAGTATTAACACTAATCAAATGCTATCAGGCAGGCAGGAACACTGCCTATGTATGGATGGCTTGGATTGTTTATTGAAATGGTATTTTAAATATCTCCTCAATAGGTCATCAGAACTTTGCAATACTATGCAGTGTTTCCTCTTGTAACAATATCTATGTAATGACGGAGTCATAAATTCTGGGAATATCTGTAAATATAGATAAACAATAAATATTACAGTTGGAACTTCATTGTGTTTAGAACTTCGTTATAAATACAACCTTCCTATAACTTATAACCAATCAAAAGCTCAGGATGTCCCCATAGTGGCATTCTCAGCCATTTTCAACTATTACGATGTCATCTCATTCTTTAGATACAAACCTTCAATCTGGTGAGTGTTGAGTCTGCTCAAAATTTCATATTGTTTTTGGACCCAAATACAGCTTAATTACTTAGCTTGATAAATCATAGTGGAATTTTATGGTATTGATGTAGTAACTTATGATTTTTTTGTAACAAAGGCCGTAACTAGAAGAGATAAATGTTTGCTTTACTTCTTTATTTACTGTTCTATGTTTTAAGAAAAATAAGTTTAAAAACTTATTTGTAAATAATAATAATGTATATATACATATATTATGTATAATAACTGAAATATAATTGTATTTTACAAAATACTAGTCCACTAAAACATAGCCAAGACACATCACTTTGTAAAGACCAAATGCTAGTTTTATATTATTGGATACAGTAACACGAGTGCCCGTGTGCCACGTCATTGTAACTTCTGTATTGTTAGGCAGGCATCAGGCATGGCTGAAAGGTCAATATAACTAAAATGATAAATATATATAAATGTATAATGTTATGAGATTTTCGCTATTTAGTCTAAACATTTGTATTTTTGTGTTATAAGCTGTAGCCATTCTAGAACAAAAAAAAGGCATAATTTATATTAATTTCCTAATTTTTTATGGTGGTTACGAGATCAGTCAAATCGACCAAATTTGTAGAGATTCATCAGTGAAAATAACAAACAAAATATAAAGTTTTTTCTTAAGAAACATTTGATAATTATTTGGACGTTGTAAAGATTTTGCATGTGAAATTTGAAAATTTTATGATGCATAAACAGATTTTTAATTTTAAAATGAAAATTGCTTTGCATGTTGGAAAGGCAACATGCAAAAAAAAAAAAGCCATGAGAAAAACATTGCTTAATATTACTTAACCTTAAGACTTAATAAAAAAAAATCTGATATTTTGCATATGAAAACCTTGTAATGTTTACTGATAATTTGCCAAATTTTGCGAACATACACTTAGGAATTTAAGATTTATAGCATGCAAACTGTAACAAGCAAAAAATGGTTATGAGGTCTTTAAATTATACACACATCATTGATGTTGTTTTCTTAACCATAATAAACAGATTATCTGTTGGCCAAAGCACACTGTATTTCAATTTTATTTCAATGTAAAATTTACATCTAATGTAAACCACATTCTTAAGTTAGAATAATAACTCATTAAACTTAAATTATTGTCACCCCCCCCCCAAAAAAAAATATTTGACAACATAAATTTTAAGTCTTACCTTATGATAATTGGTTGGAATTGAATCATAAGCTGGGGGAACAGGAGACAAAAACTTCGGACTTGAATAAGAAAAACTGTTCTCAAATTCTTGCAGATCTCTGTGAGGTACAGGATTGTAATAATAAGATAAAACTGACTCATTCACTTTCATATAGTGGAAATAAATATTAGAATCTTACCAGATTTTAAAATACCAACACACAGATTCTTCTAAAAAAAGGTATGTATGTCTTAATCTTATGACCATCTGCAAATTGGTCTTGTTTAAATATCTACATCAAAGTTTCATATAAACGTCTCAGCATAATATTATAAAAAAGGGTAAAAATGGTTTTCATAAAGTGATTGCCCCATAACTTATAAGAACATTACTTGACTATTAATCTTTAACAAAATAAAAGATTTACTTAAAGAATTTATTGTATTAACATGTAAAACACAAATACATACTCTACCAGCCTGATGACTGTGAAGCAATGGAATAAATCACAAAAATGTTCAGTTTTCTTATGCAGCTGACTGTTTTATCTTATCAAGAATGGTACTCAATATAAAATGACTGGAATTCTTCCACCAAAAATACTGGTAAAACAAATATTTTCTAATGCATACACCTTCTTTCTTTCCAGTATATTTTCTTTGGTTTTCCATACTCCAATTTTATATATTCCATTATGTATTACTATGTCCTTTTGTCACTGAATATTGCCAAAGTTATTTGCTTTGCTTTCAAACCAAAATCTATACTCATTACTCATGCTACAAATATAATACACACTAAGGTAGAATAAGTCACATAAGACATTAATCAAATCCTGCCAAATAAACCTCTAAAAAATAGTAGAATCAGCATAAAGCTTTGTAAATTAGTTATTAAAAAGATTGTTCAGTTTCATAAATATATCAAAAGCACTGTGCATTCTTATGAAGATATTGATGGTAGCCTACAAGTTAAATTGTTACAGAGACTAGGAACATATTCATGTGATAATCACCAATTAAGTCAAACATATTTACCCTTTTTGCAAGCGTAGCATCTTGTCTCCATGTTTCTCTTTAAGCTGGGAGAGAACACTTTCATCAATAAGTTGAGGATGGAGAACCAGACAGATGGCCAGTAAATGGTACATCCGATCAGTCTGTTTGCTGATCTGAGTAGAGTATTAAAGTTAAAATACAAATAATCAGAACCCTGAAACAAGACAGACGTATAAAAAATATTACGCATTATTTTTGTTGACTTGAAAACATATGTGTTTAAATTATGAGGTAAGCTGGAAGAGTTACACTTAAAGAAATAAAAATACAATGGATATACAGATAAATGAGAATTATTTGTTTGTTATGGATTTCGTGCAAAGCTACACGAGAGCTATCTGTGCTAGCCATCCCTAATTTAGTAGTGTAAGAGTAGAGGGAAGGTAGCTAGTCATCACCACCCGCCTCCAACTCTTGGGCTACTCTTTTACCAACGAATAGTGGGATTGACCATCACACTTTAATGCCCCCACGGCTGAAAGGGCGAGCATGTTTGCAGATTGCGAGTCGAGCACCCTAACCACCTGGCCATGTCGGGCCCATAAATGAGAAACTTCTAAACCAATTTCAATACAGTAAACATCTTATTAGCTTGTTAATTCCAAAACTACTTATCACTATTAAAAACTATAGAAAAACAACTCAAAATATGTCAAACACAATGAATAATTTACAGAAGACCTGCTGAATGAATGACACACTCACTTCTTCTGCCTGGGCCGTCTTATGCTGAAACATTTGTCGTGTACGTTGAACATACAAAAGGATATCAGCAAACGTGCGTATTGCATCAGCATATCGACGCATCATCATATAAGCAAATCCAACATAGTAGTAGGTGGTAATCTGACAGGCAGGAACTCTTGAGTAAAGGCTCTGACAATGAAAGAATATCACAGATAGCTAAAATTACTTTCAGACAACAATAAGATTAACAATTTTTTTTCATAGGCATTTCAATTTCACACATTACAAAATAATATGATCAGCGTAGCTGATATTGCAAACATCTAGCCAAACTATGTCAAACACACCCCTACTAAATATACATACAGAATAATTAAAATTGTTCCTTTACAACTTTTAAAGTAACTACATCGTACGCAGAAAGCTTTCTTTCCTTTTAATAATAAAGGACCATAAATTATTAAAAAATTCCCTGCTTACAATTATCTTCATGTTATAATGGTGAGACAAAAAACTAATGTAAAAACCTTTTACATATATTTTTTATAATTTACTTTTTCAGCCTAAAATGATCCATATTGAATATCATAAAACCTACATATTAAGTTTAGTTTCCTGCCATTACTTATGTAGGCTCGTATATATATATCAAACACTGCAGTGATTTTATAAAAGAATTTACGAGTTAGCACGATGTCCACCACCCATATTTG